AAAGTGCCGGTGGGCGGCGGTAGTGCTGCCGTGCGGTTTGCTTGCCGGTGCGGCGGCATCGTGTGGCGCTCTTTGCTTCCCTCTCGCTTTGGCTGCGGCTACGGCGCGGGGGTGGGCGCACGCTGCGTGCTGGGCCTGGCGCTGGTGGGCGGGATGCCCTGCGGCGCGTCTTTGCTCCGGCCTCCTGCGTGCCGCCGTGCGCGGCTGTCGGGGCCCCGTTGCGGAGGCCCACCGCGGGGTTTGCCCCGCAACGGCGCGCTCTCCGGCTTGCGGCGCTCGTGGGGGTCGCGGTGCCCCGTTTGCGGCCGCCGGTCGCCTTCGCCCGCTCATGTGCGGCGCAGGTCCCCTCGCAGGTGCGGCGTGCGCCGCGGCAGCGCGTGCCTCGTGCCGCTGACGCCGCGTTTGATTGTTTTGTTTTGTTTTGTTGTTTGCTCTCAGTCGTTTGCTCCTTTTTTTTGTCCCTTCTCTCTCTTTTTCCTCCTCCCGCGGAGAGGGCCTGTGCTGCCGCCGCCACCACCGCGACTGCCGCTCGGAGGGAGACCCCAAATGCACTTTTCTCGAGCGATGCGCCGGCCACGCCGCACCGCGCCGCTCCTCCCACTGGCGCCGCTGCTGCTGCTGCTGCTGTGCGCCGCCGCTGGATGCCTCGCCGCCGCTCCCGCCGGAGTTGCGCAGGGGGAAAAGGCATCGCAGGAGCCACGGCAAGACGAGGGCACAAGTGACACTCCAAAAGGCCCAGAAGGTGGTGATAAACAGCTGAGTGCTGACGGCACACAGTCGGGCAGTGGCGCGGGGCCGGAGAAGAGAGACACCGTTACGGCACCACAGAGCCCAGATCGCAGCGAGAACGGGGAGCAGAAGCCGGCAATGACACCAGCACCGGCGCCACAAGCGGACGGCAAGGCGGTGCTGACGAAAGCAAATGCACAATCAGAGGAAGCCAGACGAGGTGGGGACGCAGGCAGCCTTTCACCGAGGGTAAAAGGCGAGGTTGAGGTAAAAGACCCAGGTCAAGAAAGAAGCCAAGAAGATCAAGTTCAAGTTGTCAAGGAAGAAGGCCATGGTCAACAAAAAGACGAGAAAGTGGAAGTGCCACAAAATACAAAAGAGGGTGGGGAGACACTCCCATCAACAACACAATCAGTCGGAGGAGAAGGAGCTGGTCAGCGCCAGGTTGATGCGCAGCATGCAACAGGAGGAATTCCCGCGGCCACAACTCTTCCACCTCCCTCCGTCAGTAACCCTGCAGCCGGCAGTCCGGCTGCACAGAGCAGTGGGGACGGTGCTGGCACAGGCGCCACGCACCCCGATGTCGCTGATGCACCGAGAGGCAGTGCAGGGGAAAAAACAGTGCAGGGCACTGCCAACAAAGCAGATCGGAACACCGCCACTAAGACCGACAGTAAGCAGGGGAGTGGAGTTGCTGGAGTTTCTCCCACGCCCGGAGATTCTGCGACCGTGAGGGACCCGCAGGGGACAAGGGCGGAGAGTGCGCCGCTGCGACCAGCAGGCGAGCCCGAAGCCGTCCCAGAGGCGCCACGGGCAACGAAAACACCGCCGGAAGCCAAAGAGAACGGGAGCTCAACCGGAACTCAGCAAAAACCGGGGGAGGCCGCAGTTACCGCAGGGAGTGCGTCGGCCGGCGGTGTTGCGGCGCAAGGGGCTTCGTCGCCTTCTTCTCCGAGCGGCGGTGCTCCTGCCAGCAGCAACGCCGAAGGGCCCACTGAGAAGACTCCCGAGGCCGTCCAAACTTCTGAGGGTGCGCCGACGCAAGAAGAAGGGGACCAACAACGTGAAACTGCCGCTGGCAGTGCGAGGGACAAAGCACCGGCGGCAGAGGCCTCCACCAACACAACCGACGCAGCGACTCCGGCAGCTGGCGGAGCAGGAGCCGCAACACCGCCAGCCACGACCGCCACGAAAGCAGAGAAGCCGGCGCCCGGCGACAGTGACGGCAGCAGCGCCGCGGCATCGCACTCCGCCTCCCCCCTTGCGCTTCTTCTGCTTGCGTGTGCGGCTGCCGCTGCGATGCTGGCCGCGTGAGAGACTGAGCGAAAAAGGCTGTGCACACAACTCGCCCTTCTCTGTTTCTCTCTCTATTTCTGTGT